GTCGAATGGGGCGAGGATGTCCCAAGAGTTGGCGATGGCCAAGGAGGTCCCATTCTAATCAAGATCTTGGTGGAGGAACCACTTGTAGGGCTTCAGCCTCTGATCCTATGGTTGTCCCAACCTGGTGGGACGTCCCCATAGAGCTGCCAATTTTATGGGACATCCCATGGGGTTTTGCTCCAGTCCAATGGGGCAAGGATGTCCCAAGAGTTGGCAATGGCCAAGGAGATCCTATAGATCTCAAGATCTTGGTGGAGGAACCACTTGTAGGGCTTCAAGCCCTGATCCTATGGTTGTCCCAAACTTCTGGGATGTCCCCATAGAGCTGTCAGTCTTGTAGGACATCCCATGGGGTTTTGCTCCAGTCCAATGGGGCGAGGATGTCCCAAGAGTTGGCGATGGCCAAGGAGATCCCATTCTAATCAAGATCTTGGTGGTTTCTCCACCACCCATTTGTAGGGCTTCAGCCTCTGATCCTATGGTTGTCCCAGCCTTCTGGGACGTCCCCATAGAGCTGTCAGTTTTATAGGACATCCCATGGGGTTTTGCTCCAGTCGAATGGGGTGAGGATGTCCCAAGTGTTGGCGATGGCCGAAGGAGATCCTATAGATCTCAAGATCTTGGGGGAGGAACCGCTTGTAGGGCTTCAACGCCTGATCCTATGGTTGTCCCAACCTTCTGGGACGTCCCCATAGAGCTGTCACTCTTGTAGGACATCCCATGGGGTTTTGCTCCAGTCCAATGGGGCGAGGATGTCCCAAGAGTTGACGGTGTCCAAAGGAGATCCCATCCTTCCCCAGACCTTCATGGAGGAAGCACTTTTAGGGCTCCAACCCCTCATCCCATAGCATCCCCAGTGGGGTGGGACGTCCCGATGGGCTCCAAACCCACCCCTCAATGCTCCGACATCCCAGTGGTGGAGCCGAGCCGTTTCTCCACCCGCTCCCCTCCCCCCCTTCATCCTCCCCCCCTGCAGGTGGAACCGCGTGGTGGAGTTGGTGGAGCAGAAGAAAGAGCAGCTGAGCTCGGTGCTGAAGATCCAAAATTACCTCCTGGAGTGCGCCGAGATGAAAGCCCAAGTGCGGGACAAGCGCAAAGCCATCGAGGCCACGCGCTCCGGCGGTGGTGCTGCTGCTGCTGGTGGTGCTGGTGGTGGTGGTGGTGGTGACCTCGGTGGTGTTCTGGCTTTGCAACGCCGCCTGTCCACCATGGAAGCTGCTCTGGTGGTGCTGGAGCCTCGTTTGGTGGAGCTGCAGCACGAGGGGGAGATGCTGGCCGCCACCTACCCGGCGCGTGCCGCCGAGCTGCTGCCTCCCTTCGAGGAGATCGGAGAGGAGTGGGAGGCTCTGAAACGAGCCCTGCAGGGCTGCGAGGATTCTCTGAGCGTCGCCGGACGACTGCAGCAGTTCATCCAAGATTTGGACAGTTTCTTGGGTTGGTTGGTGAAAACACAAGCGGCCGTGGCGGAGGAGGAGATGCCGGAAAGTTTGGCCGACGCCGAGAGGTTGTTGAACCGACACGCCGCGCTCAAGGAGGAGATCAATGGATACGAGGAGGACTACGCCAAAATCCAGGCTGCCAGCGACCTGCTGGCGTTGGAGGGGGCCGAGGTGACCTCCCTGTCCCTCCAGAGGTGGTTGCAGCAGTTGGACGCCGGGTGGGGGAAGCTGCTGAGCAGTTGGGAGGAGCGGCGCGAGGCGCTGGTGCAGGCGCACGTCTTCCAGCTCTTCCTGAGGGATGTGGAGCAGTGCGAGGCTGGCCTGGATAAGCAGGTGAGTAGGGGGAGGGAGTGGGTTGTGGGGGAGTGGGGAGGTGGGGGAGGGTTGGGAGGGGATGGGGTTGGTGGTGGCTCCGTGGGGAGGTGGAGAGATGGGGTGGGATGAGGTTGGTGGCATCTTCATGGGGAGGTGGAGAGTTGGGATGGGGAGAGGTTGGTGGGATTCATGGGGAGGTGGGGAATTGGGATGGGAAGAGGTGGGTGGGATCCTTGAGGATGGAGGATTGGAATTGTTGGGATAGGATGAGATTGGTGGGATCCATGGGGAGATGGGGAGTTGGGAATGGAAGAGGTTGGTGGGATCCATGGGGAGGTGGGGAATTGGGATTGGAAGAGGTTGGTGGGATCCTTGAGGATGGAGGATTGGAATTGTTGGGATGGGATGAGATGGGTGGGATCTATGGGGAGATGGAAAGTTGGGAATGGAAGAGCTTGGTGGGATCCATGGGGAGATGGAGAGGTGGGGTGGGAAGAGGTTGGTGAATCCATGGGGATGGAGGATTGGAATTGTTGGGATGGGAAGAGGTTGGTGGGATCCATGGGGAGATGGAAAGTTGGGAATGGAAGGGGTTGGTGTCATTTGAGGGGAGAAGGAGAGGTGGGGTGGGAAGAGGTTGGTGG